ACCTCTGTTCACATATTCTAACTGCAAGGCCCAGAAAGCTGATACAAGCAGCTGTAATATTGCTACGTCCAAGGATATGGAGAGATGACTGCAAGCAATGGTGTTACTGCACGTGTAAGGCAGTCATGGTCAAAGTGGCCCGATCTAATACAGTGCATCTTATGTTTCCAGTGACTGAAGATCAGCTTCCACTTGAAGCTGTTCTAATCAGAGTGCTGGAAATTATCTGTGTGTCCTTCAGTGAAGCATTCGGCTACCCGCAACCAGAGACTAAGTTCTAGGTCTTCACTGAAGAATAAAGATGACAGGGCTGGCTGGTTGGTAAGTTTTTTAGGTTTACTCTGAGAGTATGGGTGAGCTTCATAAGCTGTAAACTTGGTTAAGGAAATTATTTACAGGATTTGACTAGAGCATGAGTGTTGTTAGAGTCACTTGAGACTCTGGAAAAACAAACTCATGACCAATTCCCTCCAATGTGAGGTAAGAGAATAGTATGGAGGGATAAAACTGACAGATCTTTATACAGGTCTATGTGCTAGGTATCCTTTTTCTCTAGGGTTAAAAACAAGCAAACAAAAAAACCCAGGATAAACAATGGTGTCTGTGTTCAACATAGACCTAAAAATCCCAGCATTATCAACAGAAAAAAAGAGGGAGAGAGTCCCCTGCACATAGCAGGGCCAGGTAACTGCATGGTGTTCATTATCCTTCAGACCGACACACACTTTCTTGATAAAGCCTATTAGACAACAATGCAGAACAATAAAGTTTCTTCAGAATAAACCTCAGAGAGACAGCTTCCATTTTATAGCCTTGGAAGAATAAAATTACTCATATGTTGCTGGTAACTTGTGGGTTTTTTTAAAACATGCTATTTAATACATATTATATTGTACCATGTCATGTCAGCTATTTTTCTTAACGTATAAAATACACACCTTAAAATATATTTCCTTCTTTAGTTTACATAATCAGAACACTTTTTAGTTTCCTGGGAAAGAATCACTCATTTATTTTTCAGCTTCTCTATACTGGGCATGGCTACCTCATGACTTCACAGCCAAATCACCCTATGAAATCTGTTTTGGTGCCACTAAAACACAGGACAGATGAAAGAAGATTAAAAAGGAATGGCAATTAGCAATTACTCAGGAGCAATTACTCCTTCCAGTGACTCTTCCAGGATACAGAAGCTGCTGAGCTAGCTAATGACGGCAGTAAAACTCATAATCGGTAACCACCCTGTCAGCCTGTCTCAACAGGCCAAAGTTAGATAATTCAACAGAAACTGTCAAAACCACTTGTGTCTGCTAACAGCAACTCCAGATGTACTGAATGTTACTCCTCTTCTTCCAAAAACAACTTACTGCTTCTGTGCAAATGTCCTGAGAAGACATGAAAGGAATGACGGCACCTTAAATGCGCCGTCTTGAATGCCCTTCCAACCAATGCGGGTCAACATCTTATCTCAACCCACCAGCATCTCATGAGGAGCTGCTGCCTGATGCCCTCGACCATTCTCCTTGTGCCACTACTAAGGACTGAACAGATTTTTTTCAAAAAAGCCCCAGCAACAGTAAAATTCTGTATCCTATCAGATAGCTACAAAACAGCAGATAAAAACTTTTGCAGCCAGCCCTGACAAGCAAATCTCCCTTAAAAATAAAGCAGAGATTCAGCCTCAGTTGATTTCCTGACTTTTTTTTTTTTTTTCTTTTAAAATTCCTTTTTGTTTTCACAGGAGGAGCCCTCTGCCTGGCCAGAGGAGACACAATCAAGCATTTTCCACATCCTTCCTCTTAGCTGGATCAACTCCAGAACAGCTGAAATGGAAGCAAAGTTTCCTGTTCCCTCAGACATCTTCCAAGTTAGTTCTCTCGATAGGCAATAATACAGGACTTCCAAAATACACACTATAAAGACTAGATCTGCCTACAAACATTTTCTACAACAAGATGGAGAAGAGCCACAGTAGTTTTTCTTTCATCAGCAGTCAGAAAAAAATGAAGGAAGGAATTTCCAATATGTCTCTGTGGTATAAAACAGTAGATCATATTCCACCTTCATCCTCAACACTTTCAGACTGCAGCAGCATTCTTCACAGCACAGAGTCTCATTGGACTAATATCAACATAAAACTTTTACCATGAGACAGTCTAAAGCTAAGCACAGGGAATGGGGAAAACCACACTACTAATATCTTGCTCACTAGCTTACAACAGCCACAACATGCTCTCCTTGATTTCTCTCACACAACACTTTCAAATTAAATTTGCTGTTAGATCTATAAATCACCACAGGAGGCCTGTGCGTATCCTCCTGTTTCCACTTACCTGGACAAAAATGGTGAAATAGCAACTATTTGAACTTCGGCCACTTTCTGATGCATAGTACAAGAGAAAAGCCAAGTCCCTCGAGATGGTCATGTTGACTTGGCTTTTTTGCAGGCCAGTGCTGATATCTCTGTTCACACACCCTGCCTCACTGCTCCCTACCGGTAATTACAAGGCAATTCAAACCAAAATGCAATACACAAGTAGGCTTCTTCAGAGGAAAAGAATCCCAAGGCACACATGGGCAATTGGCTCAGATGTTTTCATTTTAAACACTAAAGCTTTCATGCCATTTCTTTTTCTCCTCTTCACCCCACTGCAGTTTACCAGCAGCAGAAGAAACAGCTAGGCTAAAAAAGGGAAGGAAAAGAGAACACATCCACTGAGATGACACAAAGCGACATGCAGAGAAACCCCTAACTGCAAGGTTCCAGTTATTTATCACATTAAGTTTTGTTTTTTATTTTTCTTTAACTGAGTTCTGTTTCCATTCAAAGTTTAAAATCCATCACATCCAGTTAATTATCATCAGCTTTTATTTCTAGTCAAGTAACTAAATGCATCTTCCCCCATTCAGCAGAAAAGAGCTTTAAAAAAAAAGTCTTAAAAAAAAAATGAAAATCTTCACAAGAAACCTGATGTCACCCACTTTCCCTCTTCCTGCACTATGCAGTTCTCACTGGGGCCCATGTCACACAAGCATGTTTGCGCACAAGGGTGCATGGGTGACGTGGAAGGACAAAGCACAAGAAAAAAAACACACCCTAAAACTGTGCAAAATGACAACTCATCCGAGGGTTGTGTAAAGCAAAGTGCAGCTCCAAGCAACGGTGGCTGAAACATGGCAGTATCTAGAAGGAAACATCACCTTCAGCTGCAGTGATGCAGGGAGCTGGATTGAAATCTGCTGATCAGCACGCTTTTGAGCGGCATTTGGAAGCCGTTACAGACACAATGCTGCGTCTGGGGTGGGGAGCTTTTCCTTTAAGCTGTTCTTAAACGTTAGGAACTAAAGACAAGAATTCTGTGTGTGCTTGCATGGACTGGTTCCTTGCCTAAGCAGAGCACATGGCCTGATTCCAGCTCTGTTATCCCACAGCCAGGATCCATGAAATTAAAGGAGAGCTTGACTGGCCTGTTTGATCACCTCTGACAGTTTGCCCTACAAATCTCCTTCTCTGTCGTACCCCAAAGAGAGGTACTATTGAAGCCCCACAGCTCCACAGAAGTAATGCACATTTCCTCATGAATTTTACCACCAAATATTATCCACATAGTTGTTACTATGTCCTAAAGAAGTTAAATCAGACACTTCTGATTTTCAGCTGTGGTCATGTAGAGTATGTTGAGATCAAGACGTGGACTCTTAGATAACCTCCCCTCCTGGCAGGACTCAGGACGAGAAGAGACTAGTACCCAATGCTTCAAAGGAAGGTGCAAGAAAGCTCATGAGTAATAATTGCGGATTGTTTACCACATTCATCTGTGGTTTACAGTCTCTGTCACTTTTACCCAGTCTAAATTTAAGCAATGGTTTGAGCCATCTAAGCAATCTTTTCTGCATCTCTGCCACA